GAACGTGCTGCTTGAGAATACAAATTCATAATATAATCTGATTGGTAAATCTGTTATTTCACGTGATTTTGTTTAATTTTTATTGGCTAGAGATATCAATGGGAGGAATATTACTTCTAAAAAAATTATTTTATGTTGATAGTGATATCAACAAGGGATATTAATAAAGTTGATATATGCGGGGGAATTTTTATATATGGAAATTTATTTTGTTGATAAAGTTGATATTAATGGGAGTAAACTGTAATTTAAATTTTTTATTAAATCTTCATTATGCCAAGAGTTCACTAAATGTGATTTGCAAAATTCTCATATTATTTAATTTTTGTGATTTTTATTCGCGTTAATTTAGTGGGTGAGTTTCAAGGTATTAATAAAACGCAATGTAAGAGACACCTAGTGCAACAAACATAGTGCAGGTGGTATAATGACAATCATTAGATCATTAATTAAAATTTATTAGTGATTGTAAATACGTAATAAAAACTAAAATAATAGAGTATATTAGGCTATTATGTGACCTATAGTTAGTGCTAACTTATCATTCTTCATCTATTTACTATTTACTATACTACCTGCACTATGTTTGTAATTAGACTTGCATTAGCCAAGATATGTTTCAAGAATCGGATATATTACATAATTGTAAAAGACTCGGGTGCTTTTTCTTTATAATAGACTAGGAATCACTCTGTAGGGAAAAGGTTGATAGTAATCTTAAGGACTAGAACTCGAGCCAAAATTAAAAAATTTATTATCATATATATAAATGTTAAATACAAGCAATAGCGATATTGTAGGTCGTGCAGGCCGGCAAAAAAAAATTACCAGGCCTAGAGTTAATACTTGGATCAGGGACAGTAAATACTTCCATTCCGATATAGATTAACCAATCAAAACTGGTATCTATCTCCAAATACAAATTTTGATTGGTTAATCTATATCGGAATGGAAGTATTTACTATCCCTAACTTGGATCCGGATTTAATTGTTAAATCCGAATTTAATCATTAAATCTGGATTTAAAATCCGGATTTAATGATTAGATCCGGATTCATATATTAACTCTAACCAGGCCCTTGGTGTTCTGAATTATAGTAGATATCCCCATAACATTACAGTATATAAAATTGTCAAACTTTCGTTTGTAAAGAAGTTTTGTATATAAAAAACATAATCTCTTTTGCCTTACTTCGACGGTAATTTCACCGACAGTTCATTTAGTCAACATCACGTCAAAATGAAAGTTTACTAAAAATATATACCTTCAACTAATCAAATACTAACCCTATGTGATGTCGGCCAAATGAACTTTCGGTGAAATGACTGTCGGTGAACCATGTAACAAAGTAGAATGTTAAAATTAATCAAAATTTTGATAAATCTGCAAATATGATTGGTTAAAAAATTTAGCCAATCAAAATTCAATAAAAGTGGATAAAATTCTAATGTAACCTTCGTGTAATAAACCCGTTGCCACACAACATTTCGAATGTAAAAATACTTGTGTACCTTGCATTGCTTTTACGATTCATATATATAAAATGGGCAGGAACAAGAGGAGGAATTGCTTTGAGGGCTGTACATATGCTTATCACTTAACCTTGATTTAGTAAGATATAAAGCGGATGCTGTACGCATGTACATATGTACTGTACGTACGTACGTACTCTGGTAGATTTAGGTTAAATAATTCATCATTCACGTGTAGACCTTCACATGATGTCGTGTCGCGAAATGACTGGTGCTCATAAATATTTGATATGTTCGCGAAATTTTTAAAATTTTCGTTTCAAACGTGTTTCCATTTATTAGTATTTCAGAATGAAGGTGCTCGGCTTAGATGCGCAAAACCAAGCATCTCTATTAAAAGTTGTAATTCTAGGCCTCATTGCCTTTGTAGCAATTTCTAGTAGATTATTTAGTATTATTCGTTTCGAAAGCGTTATTCACGAATTTGATCCCTGGTTTAATTATCGTGCTACTCGTCGTTTGGTTCAAACAAGCTTTTATGAATTTTGGAATTGGTTTGATGAACGATCGTGGTATCCGTTGGGTCGTGTCGTCGGTGGAACGGTTTACCCTGGTTTGATGGTGACTTCAGCTACTATACATAACATTCTTCACGCGCTCAACTTTCCTGTTGATATACGCAACATTTGTGTATTATTAGCTCCGCTATTTTCTGCTTTCACTGCTATTGCTGCTTATCTTCTTACCTCCGAAATAAAGGATTCTTCTTCTGGTCTTTTGGCTGCCGCCTTTATTGGTGTAGCTCCTGGTTATATTTCTCGTTCAGTTGCTGGTTCATATGATAATGAAGGCATCGCGATATTTTTACTCATGTTTACCTTTTATTTATGGATTAAATCACTTAAGGAAGGTTCTGCATTCTTTGGTGGTTTAACTGCTTTATTTTATTTTTATATGGTAGCAGCTTGGGGTAATTTTTTATTTACTATATGTTTATTCTGAAAATTTATTTATTTTTTTTTTATATATATATATTTTAAAATCTAACAATTTTATTTTTTAGGTGGTTACGTATTTATTATTAACCTTATCCCTCTTCATGCGTTTGCTCTGATTTTGATGGGCCGGTTTTCCACTAGGCTCTATGTAGCATATTCTTCTTTTTATGCTCTTGGTACTTTAATGTCAATGCAAATCCCTTTTGTTGGATTTCAACCAACAAGAACAAGTGAACATATGGCTGCTTTAGGTAACGTATTTCCTATAATAAAATAGTTATCGTTTAAATCATAAATATGTAAATTTTGGGTTAATTTAATTTAATTTTAATTTAAAGGAATATTTGGATTATTACAAATAATTGCTTTTGTCGAACTCGTAAGAAGTCATCTTGCGTCCAGTCAATTTCAAATTCTATTCAAAGGCTTTATTTTTATTGCCTTCATTATAATGTTTTCAGCATTAGTCATATTAACAGTTAGTGGATACATTGCTCCATGGACTGGTCGGTTTTATTCACTATGGGATACTGGATACGCAAAGAAATATATTCCTATAATTGCTTCTGTTTCTGAACATCAACCAACTGCGTGGCCTTCATTTTTCTTTGATCTTGAAATGTTGATTTTCCTTTTCCCTGCTGGAATTTACCTTTGTTTCAAAGAATTACGTGATGAACATGTTTTTGTTATTTTATATGGCATCACTGCTTCTTATTTTGCTGGTGTCATGGTTCGTTTAATGTTGACTCTGACTCCAATTGTTTGTGTTTCTTCCGCTATTACAGTTTCTCGTTTATTGGATACTTATCTTGACTTTAGTGTTGTGGATCCAGAACCTTCTGAACAAAAGTCTGTTACTGTTAATAAATCTAAGCATCAAGATAAACAACATAAAAAATCTGGTGATAGTTCTCGTTCTGCAGCGACTTCTTCAAAATCTGAAAAAAAGAAAAAAAAAGAACAATTCTTTGGTATAGTCGGAAATGACTCTCGTGGCATAGTTCTTATAAATTTCTTTTTCTTTTTGGTTATTTTCATTTGGCATTGTACATGGGTAACGTCCAATGCCTATTCATCTCCTTCAATCGTACTTGCTTCTCGACAAGCTGATGGTTCTCAATATATTATTGATGATTTTCGTGAAGCTTATTATTGGCTAAGAAAAAACACTGATGACTCTGCAAAGATTATGTCATGGTGGGATTATGGTTATCAAATTGCTGGTATGGCAGATAGAACTGTTTTAGTAGATAATAATACTTGGAATAATACTCATATTGCCACTGTTGGAAAAGCAATGTCATCTTCTGAAGATGTTGCTTATGAAATAATGAGAAGACATGATGTAACTCATGTACTTGTTATTTTTGGTGGTTTATTGGGTTATTCTGGTGATGACATTAACAAATTCCTTTGGATGATTCGTATCGCTGAAGGTGTTTATCCTGATGATGTGAAAGAGGGAAATTTTTTCACTCCACGTGGTGAATATAGAGTTGATGATGAAGCTACACCGACAATGCGAAGAAGTCTTATGTATAAAATGAGTTATCATAATTATAATGAACTTTTTGGTGGTCAAGGACAGGATCGAGTTCGTGGTGCCCGATTACCTGCTGAAAAAATTAAATTGAGTGTCCTTGAGGAAGCGTATACAACAGAAAATTGGATTGTAAGAATTTATAAAGTTAAAGATTTAGATAATATTGGTCGTGATCTGGAACAAGCTGCTGCGTTCGAAGCAGGTAAAAAGAATCGAAGACCAAAAAAGAAACAATCTTAAAATTAATATTAGATGTTGAAGAGAATCAAATTGAACGTTTTTGTATTTAAATATTATTGTGCTTAAATTATATTATCATGAACTGACAAATTGACAACGACTTGAGAAATCTAATGGACTTAATAGAACAATAATAACCTGACTTGATTTATTAATAATAGTAAAGTTTATTTCTACTTATTTCCTATATAAAATGAACTATGTATGTATGAAATTGAGCAAACAAAATTGTGAATAAAAAATAATAAAGATAAAAAAAGCTTAAAAATGCACTTATGGTGTTTTATATTTATGCATATTATTTTATAACCAATTAGTTGGACACTTCAAAATTTTTTTCACTAATTTTAAATATTAGCCCTAATATATATAAAAAAATTTGTCAAGAATTTAAAGATGCAAAATTATTACATTTATTATAAAATGTATCTATAGCGATCTTGCATTTATAATATATTTTATAGATTTTTTTTTTTGAGTTTTTATAAGCTTGTATATATTTCGTGTTAGGGTTAGTATATAGGGTTAGAATCAGGGTTGGAAGGGTAGAACATACCGAGTATTGATTAATTAACTAGTTATAATAATTTTTTCGTGTCAAGATAGTCTACACATTAAATAATGACACGGAAATATTATTGCACGTGAACCGTAAAGTTTTTATGTATTTATCTTTTCGGTTATTAACTAGCAATCTTTAATTAGTACAAATTACAAAATCCTATCCTACAATCATGGAATTTCTAAGTACCAATTTCTAATAAATCAAATAAAAATTGAGGAATTGTTCTTTTTTGTTCAGGTTTTGAATTTTCTATATGTTTTTTTAAAGCATTTGATAACTTTTGATCTCGTTGTTTCAAAATATCCAAAATTTTTTCTTTTGGTAATTGTAACAAAAATCGAAAGTTATTTGGTTGTACCTATTATAAAGAAATGTTAATTAAACGAACAAAGAAAATTTGGTAATTGTTATCTAATAAAAAAAAATACCTTTAGGCAAAATTCAGTAACATATAAAATAAATCCTTTACGCAAAACTTCATTTTCCCATATCTGTGAAATATGTCTCGATAACATTTCATTCACAAATCCACCCAAAGTATGATAAGCTCTTACGGCCAAAGTTACCTGCTCAATGAGCCATGAAAAAAAAAGTATCGTTTTATTATATATATTACATATTAAGAGACTAAGAATGTTATCATATTATTCAAAGAATTACCGTTCTCATAAAAGTAGTTGGTAGCTCACTTTGTATAAATAACTGCTGCAACACTGTTCCCAACGTTCGTTGATCAAATATATTAGGTAACAAGAAGCATATGTGGATAGCTAATTATAGTGATGTTTCATGATCAAAATAATAGTTAAGATTTATATATGATTATTTATAGTATGTAGATAATAATTTCTAACCTTCAACTGACTGTTTCAACGATATGCCAGCTTTATCCATTTGATGTAATGAAACTAATAACTCGCTCGGTGTCATTGGTGCAGTACCATTTGGTGGCTGTGTCAAAATTTTCAGAAACACCTTCTTGACAATATCTCGCTGTTTATCTGTTGCATCAAGTGTAGCAATTACTTTGGGAAGATTGCGTATTATTTCACCCTTTATATCAATCATGATAATATGAATTGTGAAAATTTGAATTATGATAATGTGAATTATTAAACTTATTTGTAAATTATTTATTCTGTTTAAAAATTAAATTTACCTTTTCAAAAAATGCAATTATAGGGAAAAGAAACCTTCCTTCCAAATTCTTTTCCATAATTACTGATTTTGCAGTATTAACTAACTGAGGAGGTGGTGTTACTAAATTAAATATTAAATCAAATTAGTAGACAAATGTTAATTATATTAATTATTAATCAATTATTTATTACCTTGTTTATTCGTATAAACCACCAACATCTTTAAAACAAAATCTTCAGCGCCTTCTGGAAAAGTAAGAAAAAGATGCAATAGTCCGTTTATTCCGATTGTATCAACCATTTTTGGTGCATTTTTTCGAATTAATATTTGCATAGATTCAGGTGTTTCGACATATATTGAAAGTAACCTTTAAGAAAATTTAAACAATCCATTAAATATTTCGTTAAACATTTCGTCATTAGACAATGCGATGTATCAAAGTAGATATTAAAGATATTAACTTACTGATCAAATAGTTCACTTTTCTTTGAGCATAGAGAAAGGAATAAGTCCAAATGACGTTCAACATCATGATTATTCCACTTTAATTGATCATCCTCATCTTCAATCATATTTGTATCATTAACACCACCAACATGATAATGATAATCAAATAATGGAGGTGGACTCTCATCACAAAGTTGTTTTATAGATTGCAATGCAAATGATTCAATATTCGGACCTATTGTAGGATGATCAGGAAACCATTTGTTTGCAGTAGAAATTGCTGAACTTCGAGTTCTGATGTCTAACACGTAATGGTTTTATTGAGGGTTCAACTTGTGTATAAATTCAAATAATAATTAATATTAATAGTTTATAACTAACCTTTATGCAAGCAATATGCTAGTAAAATTTTCATGCAAAATGGTCGTGAAGGAGGACGTTGATTAATTAATTCACTTATAGTGTAAAAACCAAGAGACATTCTATATAAAATTTTTAATTACTATAAATAACGATATTTTTACAGTATACATTATTGTAGATATTGTAGTTTTAATTTTCTTTACGAACCTATCAGGATCATTCAAAAATATTTTTATACGATCTACAATATCTTCTTGTAATTCTGGAACATTTAATAAGAATTGAGTAAAAAAAATTCGATCCTCAAGAGTTGGCATAATTCTATCAAGTAATCTACTAAGCCAAGTCACATAGTTTGGTTTCTGAGAATATACATAACAGTTACTATAATATTTTATCGTAAAACAACATGAAAATATTAAAATTATAACAAGGGCTCACATATGATGGGTCCTCTGATAACATGATGGAATCATGATACCATTCTTCGTCAAACCAAGTTAATGCGAATTCCGTCCTAATTATATCAAATTAAATAAATTTATACGATATTAAAAACCTTTTTACCATTATTTTCTCTATCAACTTTATTAACCTGTTTTTAAAATCTTCAAGAATGTATTGAATAATCATTTCTCTTAATTCATCATATGTTTTTTTTGAGTTTTCAGAAGAAGTGTCAAGACCTCTTGTTAATAATCTTGAAGCCATCATATGTATTTGGCTTTTAGACATCCTTTTGCCATTGGATAAAGTTGTGAGAACAACGTCGGATCGCTTTCCTTTTGTGTCTGGTGATAACATTCTTAGTCTCTTAATATGTAATATATATAATAAAACGATACTTTTTTTTTCA